ACTTGTATGAATATATGGAAAGAATTATCATTTTATTTTTGAAAATAAGGTAAAATCGAATTGTGTAAATAAAATCAGATTTGCAACTAAAAACTCCAAGTTTGCTTCACTTTAGATTTTCTTCATACCAAATTTTTGTACGAGTTTTATTACCTTCCACAGAAGCAAACGGACAACGACATATAGTGGAGACAGCATCTAGTACAGCATCGGATCACATATTTTCGGGTAACTTTGATTCTATTATCATTGATTAACTGTTCTATTGATTTTTGTTTGTTGTGGATAGTAAGCAGTAGTGGGTGCTGTTCTGCATATGTATATATATATGTATATATTTGCATAGTAGATATACAGTGGTAATGAGAAACGTTTCGGTGTACTTGTCTATAACACAACTACAGTAAATAGCATAAACCGCTTTTTTCGGCTTCGGATGAGTTATTCGCCTGAAATGAAAAAAATCTATTGAATTATTATTATTAAATTTCAACACTATTCTTCTCTCAATGTGGCAACTCTGCATTGTGGTCGTAGTTTTTTACTATCTGCGTATAAATTTTGTAATTCTTTTCTATTTTATTGTTTTAAACGGCCTTAAAGTCTAAAGAGTTAAAAAATTGTAATATATGTTGAAATATACCGCACTTTGCTTTTAAATTGTATTCATCGCATTGCTCTCTGTATTGACATCATTTTGATTTTTGTAGCCAGCACTTGGTGCTCTCGTCGAAGAATGTCGTCCTTGTTATTTGATTATTATTGCTTTCCAAACATATGCGTTAGTTTTGCGTCGCATATAGTTTCTGTTTGCTTATTGTGTTTTTAATAGAGCGGATTTTGTACGCTCAGAGAACATTGTAAATACGTAATAACCTTTTTTGTTTTTTCCTCTTCATAAATTCTATTTTGTCTGCAACCTTTCAATATGGGTTATTTATTTACAACATGCCGACCCAAAATAGTTCCTGACTTTGATCGCTTTGTGAGCGTTACTTACCTGATAAAACATTCGAGCATCCATTCTCGTATCAGCTGCGTTGAGGCGCCAAGGGCGTCTCCTTCTGATAGTCACATTCAACCTAAGTTTCAGAAAAATATGAACAAAAACAAAAAATATTTTTTTAACTCTCACGCGGTGCAACTCCAGAGCCGCAAGTTTCAATAACAAGCAGAGTCACTCCCTCTATATTTCGGCATCTCAAAATTGTCAACTCTTGTCTCTTAATGCGTCATGTATTAATTTTTCTAAATCGAATGCTGTTTTCTTAAAAGCAGCTCCGCCTCGAAAATCAATATTTATGTTAAGAATGACAACGGACGCCTCTGGTGATAACGTAAAAAGTTATCTTGCTTTTAAAAACCCATTTGTTAATCTTAATCGTGTTAGCATTTTTAAATTATCTTCATCTCAAACAAGACCAATGTCCTCCTTTAAGATTTTGGTTCTAATAGAAAGCACTGATATTTTACAAAATTAATCTTAGTGGCTACTAAGATCCTTAATGAAGGAATTTGCTCCACCTGCAAAAACCGGAATCCTTTCTTAGACCTAGTAACTACCATTTACCAAAATTTTAGGGTTCGTAATTCAAACATTCGGTTTACCTACTTAAAATCAGTGAGCACAAAGTTTCGCTTTTACTGAAACTTGGTTTAAGCCGGATCTTCATTTTCTCAACCTCTCAAGTTACAAGGAACGCAATATAACATTTTAAATTACATTTTCTCGTAACATTTGATTTCAATCAAACTTAAACCACGTTTCAGTTTTATACGTAGCATCAATTGAGGCAACAGATGGCAGATTCTAATGAATTCCATCTAATGAATTCTTGGCGCGTTAAGACTTACACGGATCAGGTCTCATAGCTTGTAAGTGTCACTCACGGTCTTCAAAATTGCTTTAGTATTATCATGGTTTAAACAATAATTGTAGCCAGCCAGCTTTTTTTTTTTTCTTAATGAAACCCCACTTATTTAAGCACGTTGGACTGGCTCAGTGCATTTTGAGTGATTCGTATTAAAGCCCACTAAAAACTTTTTATTCATTATTATGCAGCTTGCAAAGTCCGCGGGCAATTATAGCGTAGGGGTTCTGTCGGCTGCCTTGACCACTACTCTAACAAAATAAAGTAAGTAAGACCGTAATAACGGCTTGCCGTTAGGCAAACTCGCATTTGCCTGAATAAGGGCTTGCCATTATGCAAAGAAAAAAAAGGGAAAGAAGAAAAAGGAAAATTCCTAGGTATTTGTTAAACAAATAGCAGTAAAATGAAATAATTAACAGATTTCATCAACTTTCAAATTAGAAGTTTAATTAATTACGGCTAAAACTGCTCAGATTATAAGATGACAACTACAACTACTTTATTGGTATAATGATGTCTGTTTAATAAAAACAAAAAAAAAAATGAGAAAAATAAGAAATAATTAAAAGCAAAAAACAATATTGATGTAATGAACAGAAAATTACGCAAGTTTTGTAGAAAGAGTTCGGAATTGAAAAAAAATATACATAAAGAAAAAAATTGTTAATATTAGAATATTGTTAAAGAACAGCAAGAAATTGTTAAAATTAAGATATTAGAAGAGAACAAGAAAAAATTGTTATAAAAAGACATTAATAGATTAACCAAAATTGGCAAACGACTGCCTGCATCACAGACTTAAGTTATGAAAATTTAAACACGAGGTGATGAATTTTTGTGCCTTGTATTTTTCTGAATAAAAGAAAAAAAGTGATTTTAAGAATTTTTTGGTTATATTCTTAACTTGGTCTTAATTAAGCAAATAATGCAATAATAATTTAAATAAAAGCAAAAAAGAAAAAGACGCTGGAGAAGTAAAGTTTTATATAACGGAGACTCGTTTTTTTTTTTTTGGTTTCATCGTAAAACAGAAGAATGTCATTGTATGCAATTGCACATACGCATATGAAGATTTTTCGGGAAAAGAACTTTGCCAACAAAAGTCAAATTTGAGTTTTTTCGGATATACCCAAAGCTCATGCATATGAATAATTATCACAAGGGATTCAAACTTTTTATTTGATAAACAAATCTAGAAGAAATCGAAAGCAACAAAAATGTAAACAATCGAAAACAGCTGAAATCATGAAAAGAAAAAAAGACGAAGAAAAGAAAATTTAATAAAAACTTAATTAACACCGACACTGAATATAT